ATTGTATGTTATGAAAATGGAAATAAAAAATATGTTTAAGGGGAAAAAAATACACACATGTGCACTCACGTACAAACACAAGTGCCATTCAGTAACCAAATTTAGCAGGCAAATGCAGGAGGGCACTTGGATTTTAACTGAATTGGCTAAATGTGTTGCAATATGTAAGGATTGTTTAGGTTTAGGTTTAGGTTGTTTATTTATATGCCGCCCTTTTCCCTGGGGGGACTCAGGGCGGCTCACAATCCAAAAGGGAAGGGGGAAAAACAGACTTTTTACATAAAATTGTCGAGGGCATCTATTCCCCGATATTATACAACATTGTGTCTGGTATGCATTCATGCTTGTACAGATGCTTGGTGATTGGAGCCCCCAATCAGCATTTTCCTAAGACAAGGAAGGTTGACCTAACCCTTTATTTGGTTTTATTTTCAATTAGCTACTGAATATTTTGCTGTATTTATGCTTTTAAAGCCTGGTATGATACTTTCAAAAGCATCTGGCTTCTTTTTATATCATTGGCATCAACATTCACTGGAATGGAAGTAAATTGTAATTTATTTGTAAATGATTCATAGAAGGTGAGATAGATGCTGTTATACATTTGATAAGCAAACACATACATCAAGAACTGTATGTTATCATCCAAACATTTTAGATTTTATTGTAGTTTTTTTCCTCCAAATATTAATGAAGTTTCAAAACAGTAAAGAAGTATGCAAAAAAGCAAAGGAAAAAAAGAGATGGGGAAAAAGCAACATTTGGGGGTTCAAATGAAAAGGAAAAGCAGAAGGGTATATATTTACAATGTGGACGAAGGTCTTCCTTGCAATATTTTCGGGGAGGGCTTATTTTGGGCGGTGGCTTATTTTAGCATATGCGCTCAAAAGCCCGATTGAGCTTATTATCCGGCGAGGTCTTATTTTCAGGGAAACAAGGTAGATAGTCCTTGACTTACAACCATTTGTTTAGTTTGAAGTTACAAGGGCACTGAAAAAAAAGCGACTTATTCACACTTATGATTGTTGCAATATGCCCACCATCACCCTTGGCAACTGGCATGTATTCCCCACCACAACAACTCTCATAATCTCAGCTGTCACAAGACACGTGAGTCAGCCCTGGTGGTACAGTGGTTAGAATGCAGCATTGCAGGCAAACTCTGCCCATTGCTAGGAGTTTGATCCTGACCAGCTCAAGTTTGACTCAGCCTTCCTTCCTTCCAAGGTGCATAAAATGAGGACCCAGATTGTTGGGGGCAATAGGCTGACTCTGTAAACCACGTAGAGAGGGCTGTAACAGCACTATGAAGCAGTATATCAGTCTAAGATCTGTTGCTACGACGGTTGAGTGTCCCAGGGTCACGTGATCAGCTTTTGCAACCTCCTGACAAGCAGAGTCAGTGGGGAATCCACTCAACAACCATGTTACTAACTTAACATTTGCAATGATTCACTTAACAACCATGGCAAGAAAAGTCATAAAATGGGGCACTAATCAACTGTCTTGCAGAGCAACAGAAATGTTTGATTCGACTGTAGTTGTAAGTTGAGGGCTACTTATATTGGAAAAGGGACAAAGGTTTGACCAGCTTCATTCCCTCTAGGCCAGCCACCCCAAACCTTTAGTCACCAGGGACTAGTTCTGTGGAGAGAGGCTTTTCCATGGACTGTGTTAGGTAAGCTCCCCGTTAGGAGAACAAGTGCGGGCAGAGAAGCGTAGTGAGAGTGGTGTGGAAGAAACAGATAAACCAGCATATGGAGACACTGAATTGNGGCCCAGCCAGGTTTCAGTAATACATGCCAGGTCTGCCCCCTCATCTAATATTAAGTCCCTGATGAGGGGAGCTTTATGAATCACAGACCTGGCATTTAGCAGCAGCAACCTGAGACCAGGGCCCTGACTTCTCTTGTCACCAGGTACTTGAGTTGAGCTTACAGGGTCGGAACAAGGGATTGCTGTGATGTAGCGATCCCTCCTTCCCCGGTAATGGCTAGCCCTGTAGCTCCCATCATACCTGCCCCTCCCGGTCATAACCGAGATGCTCTGCCCTGCCCCCATCCCCGTAGACCCCTCCTCACCTCCCACGGCCCCCATTCTTCTCGGCAGGCCATTCATACCATTCATTCTAGGACGAGAGGCGGGTCCGCTTCTGCACTCAGTGGAGGGGGCTCCAGGCCGCACTCTCGATCCTCTCATGTATACCGCACAGGCATTCTCCTCATGCATACCCCAGTGTAATCATTAAAAAAATACAATAGTACAGTAATACAGTAATATAAAATTAAGTTCATTTAAAAAAAATTAAAACGTGGGATCATTCATCTTCATACATACAAACACACATTCTACACACAAGATTAATGCAGATGTTAATTTCGCGCAAGCAGTTGGTGCAGTTCAAATAGCTGGAAACTAGCGATTGGTGCAGTTCAAATAGCTGGAAACTAGTGATGGTGCAGGGGGGAGAAGTGTCTTCTTTTCTCTTCCCTCCTGTAGGCCTGGAACAGTGCAGAAAAAGGGTCCAGAGTGTGGGGTGGCAGATCTCGGCACCTGAACAGGAGGGGGTTCCTGGCATCCACGATCTGAACCACGACATCGCTTCTCTCCAGGACTCTCCAGAGCTGATGCCAGAAATCCAAATTTCGCTCAAATGGGGTCAGCAGGAGGTTCTCCTCTTCCTCCAGCCAAGCAAGCTGCCTCATCCACCTCAGGAAGCTATCTCTTTCGGCCTAGTTCAATGCTGTAGGTCTTGTTTGTTCATCCCATGGCGGCCATCTGGGGATGCGCAGAACCTGCTCCTCCTCCTCCTCCTCCCGTGGCCGGCCGGCTTCCTCTGCAGCCCCACAGCCGGGGGCCAGGTGCACGTTCAGCGTCTCTGCGGCGAAGGCGGCGCCCACCAGCTCTGCCACCGCCCGGAAGTCCTCCACCGGGCTCTGCTCTGTCACTGACTGCGGCAGGGGGGCGCGGCCCTGCTTGCTCAGCTCGCTCGTGTGGCATGGGGCGCTCACGGGTTGCTCTGTCATCGTGGCTTCCACCACCCTGCTATTTGACTTTCGTGGGGCCCACCCAGGGTACGCGAAGGCCCCAGCCGGGCTAAGATCTGGTGGCTCCACGCTGCTCAGTTGGAGGAAGGCAGTGCTTGGGGGCAGCGGGGAAGTTTGGAAGATCCAAACAGTTGTGTTCCTGCCATTTTTGCAGAGCACCCAGTAGAGAAGGTGACCCATAAGCCCATTAGTGACCATGTGGAGGTCTTCATCTGCGAGGCCTTTGGCTTCTACCCCAAGGAGATCCAGGCCACCTGGATGAGGGATGGAGAGGTCTGCAAGTATGAGACCCTCCCTAGAAATGTGGCCCCCAACTCAGATGGGACCTATTATCTCTGGGTCAGCATTGAGATGGATCCCAAGGAGTGGGACCACAACTGGTGCCGTGTGATGCATGATGGCTTACAGGATCCCCTGGTCATAGCCTGGAAGGAGAAGCCTGATGAGAAACTGCAACATCCAGGTAGGTAGAGTGGAATTATTGGAAAGAATGGCGGGGGGGATCTCCTGGACCATCTCAGATCTTGTGATGCAGAAAAGGAACAATCCCTGTGTCCTTCTGCTGGTTTCTGAGTTCCATGGACTCAACGGCCATGGAATTAAGAATGGGCAATTTCTCTTCAATGATCCCCTTCCCATT